TTATAATACTAAAATTTGAATTATAATCTACAATTTGATACCAGACTTATTGACATACATTAATAAAATAGTAATTCAATAAAATTTTGAATACGAGTCTACAAATACGATGACATGGCCTTTGACCTGTGACCATAGGAAGACCCATACAGATAGGATTAAAGAGGACTTAGCCTAAAGCTAATAACCATAAGTAAGAAGATATTGTAATCTTTAGGACTCTGTAGTCATGAGTGAAATAGCGATATGTAGAAAAATTTTAAGTTGATGCAGTACAAAGTGACAAAGCAATCTGAAGAGAGAGTTTTAAAAGTTAGAGGCCAGAGTTTTTTAACAGATTCTGATGGCATTCTTTCAGTTCCTGATAATGTTATTGTATTAAATTATGCACACATGAAAGCCATGGATATATTATTGAACCAACGTGATGGCAGCACATGCAGAAGAAGCAGGCCTAAATAGAACGAAACTATAATCAACAGCAAAGAAATGGAAAAACAACGGAGGCTGCTTACATGTTACTAAAAAAGAACTTAAACATCACAGTGGGAATCTACAAGTGGGTGGAAGTCTGGTGAAACGAGCAGAACGCTGATTAGTTAGGGGTGGTCGACAGATAATGATAGGTGTGGCAAGGTGAAGAGCGACCAGGAACTTAATGTGGGAAAATTTGTATAAATACCCATGTAAGGCACCAGAGTGTTGTAATCTCCTGATGAAGACATGTAGTCGAAATGTTGAGAATAAAAGATCCTGTCGTAGCATTCATAGTCTCATTGCTACCTTCGTATCTATAGAAATATTCTATCAAACTATATCAAGTAATGATATTTAGGTTAAGTAAGGATACTTACGTTTGTTAAATATAGTAAGATTAGTCTGCTACAGCAAACTTTTCAGAGGAGATAAATCCTTTTTCATTGAATATCTTATGAAATTCACTTTATTCAAATAAAACATAACTATTACATAAAATTGATTTTGACCAAAAATGTTGGCAGACTATCACATTACAAGGCCTGTTGTAGGTGACGGTGAGGTCACTGTTCACAGTCGGTATTTCAGTGTTTTTATGATTTATAGCAAGAGTTAAGTTGCACTGCATTAATGAACAAGTTACAAATGATTG